CGGGGCGCGCCGCCCCGCCCTGCCCTCCCTCCCGGCCTGGGCATGGGGTTTCGCGGGAGAGTCGAGCACCGGGGCGGGGGGGGGGGAGACCCCGATCGGAGGTGCGTGTGGGGCGTCAGTGTGTCCCGGCGGGTCCTCCTGGCAGGGCTGGAGGGGGGGTGCGGCGGGGGGTGTCCAGCGCACCTGGGACGTGCCGGGTGAAACCTTGGCTCCCCCACACCCGTTTCCTTACATCACCCCCGCCCTCCTAGGGCCGGGGTCGGGTCGTTCCCCTTCCCACCCCGTGGGGTCTGATGTGGAAATGTAGATGGGGTGCGGCGGGGGATGGGGGGGCCTCTTCGCCCCCCCCTCCACCCGCCCCGGGGCCAAGCGATCGCGGGGCCCCGCTTGGCCGAGGAGAGTTGGGAAGCGCTGAGGTGGTACTGGAGCTCTTGTGTTTTTTTCCTTAAAAAAAAAAAAAGGAAAAGACGAAAGGAGGGAGGGGAGGGAGGGAGGGAGGGAAGGCCAGGGGTGTTGTTTTTCTTCGCGTGCGCGTAAATTTCCTCCCGAGCCGCCGCGCTGAAAGCTGGCAGTTGGCTTTACACTTGCCCGGCAGCCGAATTAGAGCAACCGCCTGTTTCTCTCGCCCCCGCACGGGAGTCAGAGAGCCCAGAAAAAACTTGCCGGGACTTTCAGCTTGTCCCAAGCAAGGAGGCGAAGAAGGGGCGGGGGGGGGGGAGAAATTGGAAACAGACCCACATGCAAACAGCTGGAAGAGCTAAAATCAGAAACCACTAACCGCCGCCGGAGCACAGTGCACGAAAAGGGTTTTTCGTCCGGTTTATTTCCAGACGCTTCACGACGTAGCTCCTTGGTAGATCAAGTCGTGGGGTGTTCGTCCGTTCCCCCTCCTCCCCCCCCGCCCCGCCCCGCGCCCGCGCCTGGGTTGGAGGGGTGGGTGGATGGGGGGGTCGCCGCGCTGGGAGAGGACAGAGGCATTTGTCAGAGATGTTCCTACTCACATGACCACACGGCGTTGATCTTTTTATTTTTAAATCGTGTGTATCCGGGAAATCCCGTCCTCATCCACCCGCATGAGTTGACGGTAAGGTCCGAGAATAAACGCTTGAAATTTTAGGAGCAAAACAGGACTGTCTCATTCACTGGAGTGAGGAGCCCCTGGCTCCTAGGTAATGCGAGCTATTCCATTCCATTTTACTCGGGTTTTGGTTTTCCTTTTGAAATTTCCTTTTCATGGCTGGGGGCTGGAATGAAGATTATATCCTAGGAGAGGAGAATGTCGTTAAAAAAAAAAAGACTGAGACAACTTGTTAGGAGCGAGGCGAGGACCTTACAAATCACTGGGAACTGTGTAGTGATTTGAATGTGACAGTTGTCTAGGGGACACCAAGAAGGTGAGGGATGACTGGGCTTTTTACAGAGTAGGGGGGAATGTAGCATTGGCCCACTGAGAAGGGCCTGATAAATGCTTTCCTGATGACTGCGCTAGCATCGGGCAGCCTCTCCCCACCCACGGACTTCCTAGCACCAGTCTACCAAGGGAGTGATTTTTCCCTTAGGTAATTAAAGATCTGTTGTAGATAGATATATGAATAGAAACATTTCATTATCATATTAGCCAATTACAGAATCTGCTGGTTTAAAAAAACTCAACATTTAGCTCAAATGTTGAATGTGAAATTGTTTTGGTGGGTACTAGGGTTTGCCCAACACATTGCGTTTAAATTTCCGTTGAAGGAGAAACAAGAGAAGGCAGGAAAACAGGCAAAGGGTGTTTTATATTTGATATTTTGGAAATACCTAGGCAAGCCAAGACCAAAAAAAGGAAACAACAAATTTTTTTTTGCAATGTTATTTCAAAGGTTTGCCTAGCTATTTTATATATTCGCGGTAGAGCATGTTAAATTTCACTTTGTGACAGTAGAATTGAGCTAGTTTGGCAAGACTTCCATACTATACTTGAATTGCACACTAACTGCGCAGAGGGCAGGGTGCCCCACTTGCACCCGGTAGAGGCTTTATTTTTGCATCAGAAGGGGCAATGCCTTTTTTTTTCTTTTTCCTGGTATGTCTCTTTGTCTGAGGTTGATATGTGGAGCGATTTTTACCCAAGAGTGCCATTCAGACTTTCGTAAGCTTCTAGTGACCCAATAATTACACAATTGACAAAATACATGTAAACCTGATATGTTGGTAAGCAACACGTAGAGGCGCTCACCTGAGAACTTGACTCAGGAACATGGCTGGTAACTTCTGGGGAGCCCCACTTGTCCTCCCTGAGCTCAGACCAGGTGGATTATGCGTGTTTGTCTCTCTCTCTTTTTCAGACAAGATGTGAAATGGAGAAGTATCTGACGCCTCAGCTTCCTCCACTTCCAGTAATTCAAGAGCATAAAAAATATAGACGAGACAGTGCCTCAGTCGTAGACCAGTTCTTCACTGACAGTGAAGGGTTACCTTACAGTATCAGCATGAACGTCTTCCTCCCAGACATCACTCACCTGAGAACTGGCCTCTACAAATCCCAGAGACCGTGCGTATCTCACATCAAGACAGAACCTGTTACCATTTTCAGCCACCAGAGTGAGACGACTGCCCCTCCTCCTCCGGCCCCGACCCAGGCCCTGCCTGAGTTCACCAGTATATTCAGCTCACACCAGACCGCAGCTCCAGATGTGAACAATATTTTCATCAAACAAGAACTTCCTACACCAGACATTCATCTATCTGTCCCTTCCCAGCAGGGCCACCTGTACCAGCTACTGAATACACCGGATCTAGACATGCCCAGTTCTACAAACCAGACAGCCGTAATGGACACCCTTAACGTTTCTATGTCAGCTGCCATGGCAGGTCTTACCACACACACCTCTGCTGTTCCGCAGACTGCAGTGAAACAGTTCCAGGGCATGCCCCCCTGCACATACACAATGCCAAGTCAGTTTCTTCCCCAACAGGCCACTTACTTTCCCCCATCACCACCCAGCTCAGAGCCTGGAAGTCCCGATAGACAAGCAGAGATGCTCCAGAATTTAACCCCACCTCCATCCTATGCTGCTACAATTGCTTCTAAACTGGCAATTCACAATCCAAATTTACCCGCCACCCTGCCAATTAATTCACAAAACATCCAACCTGTCAGATACAACAGAAGGAGTAACCCCGATTTGGAGAAACGACGTATCCACTACTGTGATTTTCCTGGTAGGTGGCCTTAACTGGTTCAAGTATCAGTTTGAAATTGTGTTTGTGTGTGTGTATGTATTTGTTAACCAGACCTTACATTTTTACATAGAGAAGTGCATTTGATGGTTAAAAGCAGACCGAGTTATTTTAGAGTCCCTCCCCTCCCCTCCCCTCCCCTTCCCTCCTTCCTTCCTTCCTTCCTTCCTTTCCTTCTTTCTGTTCATTTTCTTTTGGTGGTGGTAAGAGTTGAACCCAGGGCCTTGAAAACCTATTGTTCCATATCCCATTTCTTTTTTTTTTTTTTTTGTCGGCCGTGGGGCTTAAACTCTGGGCCTGGGCGCTGTCCCTCAGCTCTTCAGCTCAAGGTGAGTGCTCTACCACTTGAGCTACTGCGCCACTTCCGGTTTTTTGGTGGTTTATTGGAGATAGGAGTCTCACGGTCTCTCCTGCCCGGGCTGGCTTTGAACTGCGATCCTCAGATCTCAGCCTCCTGAGTAGCTAGGATTACAGGCGTGAGCCACTGGCGCCCGGCTCCATATCCCATTTCTGTTTGTTTTTTTTTTTTTACCCTGGTATGAAACCAGTTTTTTGGAGGGAGGAGTTGTAGAACATTCTAAAAAAAAAATAGGAACAAGTTACCTTGGATTTTTTCTCCCACTTTAATAGTAAATGACTTTTAATTAAATTTAATGGAGTTTTTTTAAAAAAGAAAACTAATAAATTTTATTAAGTTCTAAATTAAGTGCCCTGGACATAGATTCAGTGGAGGAAAACAATGTGAGATGCTGAAGTGTTGTAGGCTTCTAGCTTGTGGTTAGTACAAGACTCTCCAGGATAAATTTAAGGATGGTTTCCATAGTATATTTTAATTCTTCAGTAAGATATGGAACCCCAAATTGTAAATTGATTACAAGTAAGGAATATGCCCCAAGTTGCTAGTGTAAGCTGGTTCATGATTAATATCAGGCATAATTTATTGACTGGTACATGATACGGCATGACGTGCTAAATGACAAAGTATGGAAAATTATAGCCATCTCAGATAATGGTTTAGCACTGTCAACTCCACATCCATTAAAATTTAAACTAAAAACATATACTATAATAGCTTTTAAGTCTCGAAAGTATGTATTACTAGTAAAAGCACCTACTGAAATATAAACACAAATTTTCCATTTGTCTTTTGGATCCATTACCTGTATTCTTTTTTCCCTACGAATGTGATAGATAAATAATCACTTTATGCCTTTAATAAGGTAATGGGCACCTGCTTCGTAAGTCTTAAAACTGGAGCTTCCAATATTTCATCTAGCATGAGAGATTCCATCTTTAAAGCCAGATTTTAAACACTGAATCATCAAATGTAAAGCTTTCAAAAGGATCTCCGAAATGACAAGCTGTTCCTCCTCTGCTTCTTTATTTTAGGTTGCACAAAAGTTTATACAAAGTCTTCTCATTTAAAAGCTCACCTGAGGACTCACACTGGTATGTAATTTTCTTGTTAATTCTTTGAGTTGTGTAAATAGTGTAAGTGGTATTCATCTTTTTAAAAGCCAACACATGTTTGATCTCTTCTTTCTTCTGTCAACTTATTTTTTAATGGCCTACCTTTCTCAGCACTGGCTGTGGGGCTCAAAATTCAGTTCCTTGAGAAAGCCCCGCTCAGGGAAGGCAGATGCTCTCCCGCTCCGCCCCCTTCTCCCTCACTGCTTTGCCCTGTCACCTCATGTAGAATCAATTACCCAAAACATAAACAGCAATGTTTACTAAGGAGTTTTAACACTCTAATGGCAATGCTATTTTTGTCTTGAAAGAAAGGGGAAAAATTCTCCTAGGTAAATTAGTGTGCTTCAATAAAGCCATTCAAACATGAAAATACTTTCTACTTAGCATGTGCACAGCATAACTGCTTAAAAACATAACTTGAAAATGTTTGTTACTTAGCATGTTTGCTATGCTTCATGAAAGGTAGGCCAGAAATTGTAAGGTATTTCAAATAGTGTTACGGTTTAAAAGTGATACCACACCCTCTGATCCAGCCCCAACTTGATGTGTTTGAGACTGTTCTCTTTATTCTAGCTTACATTTCACCCTTGTTTAAAACATGCTTATAAGGTTATGCTTCTAATTTTATAACTATTTGTGTGGTTAAATCGATAGCCATCTTTTGAGAGCTTTGGAATTCTAAAAGTTTATATCAGAACCCATTTTAAGATAAAATGTATGCTACATACTTTGCGTCAAAGGGCTTCACATATATTTTCAAATATATAGATGGTTACAATTTGTGTTTTTTGCCTTAAACAAAAAGATGACCTTAAAGGAAGGAATTTAGATATAATGCGATTGTACTGTTTTCCTCAATAAATACAGCCTTACCTATAGTTCAAAGGATAAGTTTGCTATTAAAGGCAGTGACCTAGCAAAATGTATTATTCCATCATTGCTATGGAAACCAAAGTATTCAACAGTTCCTTTGAATGGGTGGTTGGATTAGTGTGAGGACTTGAATCTCCCCAGGCTAGATGTTACTATGGAAATTGAGTTTTGATAAATGAAGTAGTTATCTCTAACTGCTACATTAAAAAGTAAAAGCCTTTGAACAAAGGTCAGTGCTGAGATAGGGCCCTGGGAGGAATATGCTTGCAGACATTCAGTATGCATGTCAGGAAGTATTGCTTGATACCCAACAATAAACAAGTGGCATCAACTGCAATGATAGATACAGGGAGCTTTTGAGAATCTGATTTTAAACAAAGACCCCTCTCCTGCATTTATCTAAGAAATGAACGGCTTGCTTTGGCCGGAGGTTTTTACACAAATGGATTACATAAAAGAAAAGATCCTATATAAGCAACCCCAGGTAGAAATTGTGTTTACAGTTAAGCGCCCACCAAAGAATTTTAGGTCTAATGAAAACTTTTGAAGTTTTCAAAATACAAATGACAGGTGCCAGGATAAGAATCTCATGTAACTATGCAAAAATCATCCTCTGACAGACTAGGAGTTGTATTAGAAAAGCGTTGCAAATTGGTTTTTCATCTTGAGTTTTTGATCCAGGGGACATGGATATAACTTAGAAACATTTGAACTATTGTTTTTCTCTTTTGGAAGGCCTTGAAGCTGGAGATAGGAAGGGTAGGGTTAAAGTCCGATAATAAAAGAGGAGCACGATTGCATATAAGGATGTAATCAACTGCTTATTGCAGGGATGTAGTCAGGCCATATCTAAATAGCCTTTCAACCCCTGTCCGGGTTTAGTGTGCTGAATACTTGTACCTGGGATTCTGGAACTTGACCTGCTGGCAAAGAAATTTAATAGTGGGTTGTCTTAACAATGTTCCTACTAATAAAAGCAAACTAAAAAGAGGACCTAGGCCTGCTTTGGGTCCCATGCATCGACTTTTTCACCTGCTCATAAATATTGTGGCCTTCAACATCTAGTGAGTGAGCATGTAATCCAGTTTAATAAAGTTTTGTTTGATAGTCTTTCAAATGCCTTGGGGAGTGTTGGTGCCAGACTCACTCATCTGGCTAAACCCGTTCTTGGGTAATCATAGAGCATTGAGGTTGTTTTCTCCTCATTTCTAGTTTCTAGACAATGCCTCTTAAAATTACCTGGCCTCTCTCATTGCATCCTCCCCACCCCGCCCGTTTGCCAGTGACTATCCAAACCAGCAAAGGCTTGCTTTTTCTTTCTTTTTTCTTTGAAGGCCCAGGAAGATGAAACAGTTTTTCATCTCTAATAGCATTTTTTTCCTGCTTCCTCCCTCCATCCCCCCCCTTTCCCTGCCCCGCTTCCAACTTATACAGCTATTAGTAAGCTTTAAAGGCTATATGGCAATGTTGATCTTTTATTTGATGACACAAAAGGAATTATTCGGTATAAATGACTGCCATTTTGCTGGTAGAATGTAAAGCGCCCTAGCATTTCTTTGGAAAATAATTGGAAGTGCCTTAAAATGTCAAGTTACCGTATGTTTTAAAAATGATCTAAGAAATTACAACTACATCCTTCTGCATTGTTTAACTACTTATTCTGGAGTTTTTACATTGAAAATGATTCTTTAACTTGGATTGCAAACTGAACTTAAGCAAATAGTCTTTCCAAATCAGAACATTTTCTTTTTAACTGGGGACAAAAGAATTAAAAAAAATTGTTTTCTTAAGTTATAGATATCATAGTATTCAAGTTTTTTAAAGTGCAGATATTTTTATTTCTTTATTTGGAAGCCATACATAGATATATAAAGTTGTGTCTTTTGGGCGCTAGTGGCTCATGTCTATAATCCTAGCTACTCTGGAGACTGAGATCTGAGGATCTGGTTTGAAGCCAGCCAGAGTAGGAAAGTCCATGAGACTCTTAATCTCCAGTTAACAACCAGAAAACTGAAAGTGATGCTGTGGCTCAAAGTGCTAGTGTTATCCTTGAACGCAGAAAGCTCAGAGACAGTGCCCAAGCCCTGAGTTCAAGGACCACAACTGACAAAAAGGAAAAAAAAATGGTCTTCTTTGTATGGTCAGACAAAAGACCTGAGACATAATTTATCCTTATGCATGGAGAAATTATATTTCACGTGTGGCTATGTATGTAAACTAGCACATACTGACAGGTCTGTACTTAATTTTACATGGGTGAGTGGGTGTTTGTAGGTGTTATTCGTAGTATGCATGTACCATATTTATCATGCCTCTGTTGGAAATAGTTATATCTGCTTCCAAGCAACAACAGTGTCAAGTGGTATATTTTGAAATCAAAATGTTTGTGCTTTTGGATAGCAGTTAGTTGAACCTCTCATTGAAATTCTCATTTCTTATTACGTATCTAAGAGGCTATACTCATTCTGTCATTTTTGAAATTGGCCCCAGGCACCTTTTTTTTTTTCCCAGGCACCTTTTTAAGTCAGTAAGATTGATAAATTATTTCTGCAACTCTTACTGGATTTAATTAATTTTTTTAAAATTGTTGTTGCTGAGGGATCAAACCCAGAACCTGGGGGGCATGCTAGGCAAGTAACCTACCACTAAGCTACATTCTTGGTCTCTTTTCCATAAATTTCACAGTGAAGACATTTCTCAGCTTGCTGGAACAGGGCAGAAAACTAGCAGTGAATAGAGAAAAGTCAGCAGCATATTCACTTGGCACAAGTGGCCTCACCCACACGCGCAGTTTCACAATCGTCTTTTGATTGTTTTGTACCTACCGCACTTTACCCAAGGAAACAGTCTATTTGAAACACTCTCACCAGAAAGATTAACATAAGTACACAAAAATGGATTGAGAAGAGCATTGCATTTAAGGTTCCCTGCTTAAGAATTATATTAAGTCTTAGAAGGAATTTTAGCCAGAGCTTACTTGCAAAGGAATGAATCCCTGTCGTTTTCCTTACTTTATTTCCTAGCAACACTCGTAAGTAAGATGATTCTATGCCTACTTTGAAAATACAGAATCCCTCCTTGAAGTTGTCATTTTAGTTAGTGGTTAGGTACTAAAACATCCTTGGGTCTAAATATTTCTGGTCTCTTCTGCTCCAAGCTCAATTTATCCATTGACTGTGTATAAGTATAGATGTTGTTGTCAAAATATTGATATTATTGACACTAGGGTATTTATTTTTCCTTATACTTCTCTAATGAAAGGTATAGTCAGAATAATATGAGCGTAGATCCTCATTATTTTCTCCCTTTAAACTATAAAATAGGAGTGAAAGGGCTGGGAAGGTGGCTCAGTGGTAGAGCGCTTGCCTTGCATGCTCGAGGCCCTGGGTTCGATTCCTCAGCACCACATAAGAAAAAAGAAAAAAGCCGGAAGTGGCGCTGTGGCTCAAGTGGTAGTGCGCTAGCCTTGAGCTGAAGAGCTGAGGGACAGCACCCAGGCCCAGAGTTCAGGCCCCACGACCGGACCCAAAAAAAAAAAAAATAGGAGTGAAAGCATTTAAAGAAAGCACTAGGAAGAATTTATTTTCAGGCCTTCATGGATGGAGATCATAGTTAGGATCTAGAATCAATATTGGTTTAATTTGTCTATGAGAGTTTAAAAATAGGATCTAGAATCAATATTGGTTTAATTTGTTTATGAGAAGTTAAAAAATTATTATTATAAAGGTGATATAGTTATTATAGTTACATAAGTATGGCAAAGAGTACATTTCTTCTTGAATGATGTCACCCCTTCCCTTGTTCTCTCTTGTAGCATTTAGTGGTCACTTACAAAATCTGGTTAAAAGTTTCATGTTTAGCCTTACCAGGCAGGGTATGAACATTGTTGACATTTTGTTTTCACTTGCCACTTTAAAATATATTTTCTATACTGACAAATTACAGGCTTTTTTCCTTTTATTTATTTTTTAAAGTAGTGGCTTAAAGAGACCCCAGGAAAGGTATTTATGAGCCAGAAAGCTTAGGAACAATTTTTTTTAATGACTCACTGGGAAGATTAAACTTTGCTTCTGAGACTTGTTTCATCTGAAAAACATTTACATAGG